GGATGTTCAGGAAGCAGCGGTGATGGCTGCCGGCTCAGGGCTGTATGCAGGCCCTGGATGTGCATAGACTGGCCTTCCCGGGAGTCAGTCAGCTCCAGGTCTCTTCCCAGGGGGGCAGGAGTTGCCTCTTGGCTGGTGGTCAGCACAGGCCACAGACAGGTGGGCTTCGGGGAACGAGTGCTGTGTCTAAAACTGTGTTCATATGCAAAGTGGCTGTCCCAGCCCTTCCAGGGACCCACTGTGGTGACAGTACTGGTCAGGACTGGAGTGTCGTTTGGGTGTTCCCTGTGCGCACGCGCATGTGTGTGTGTGTGTGTGTGTGTGTGTGTGTGTGTGTGTAAGTGCGCATGCATGTAACTGCTGCACTAGGTCACAGATGGGCGGTGGAGCTGTCTCCTGTGAGGACAGAGAATGAATGGGGCTCTCCTGGGAGTCTTTCTCTCACTGCCTCCCACCAGTGCTGTAGAGGTGGCTACCCTGGGCTGCGGACAGGAAGGTATCCTGGAGGGCATGTGGGGACTGATGTCAGTTCTTTGTGAGTTCCTGGGGTCTCTACCTGCCTGCCCCCCCTTGGTGAAAGTGGGAAGGAGTCACTGAGGGCTATCTCAGGTGGACCCAGAGTGCCCATGGGGCGGGCAGGACTGGCGGAAGGCGATGGGGGCGTGGTGGACCCAGCACTACCCTCAGACTCTCTCCACAGAGGGACCCTGAGGCTGGCAGCTGAGCCCTGGATGTACAAGGCCCTCACCCCCAGTGTAGGTTCAACCCCCTGCTCAGTCCCCTCAGTGAAAGTGAAAGTTGGAGCCGGAGGAGGGCTCGAAGAGGGCTGGCCTTGGGAAGCAAAGTTCATGGCCCTGAGTCACTGGCATCATCACATCATTGTAAGGGCAGGGCGGCCAACAGGGGAGCTGGCCAAGTGCTGTGGAAGCCCTGAGGGCCTGGGGGCAGCAGGTACCCCATTCTCCAGCAGTGGGCTCCCTGAGCGCCCCGAGGAAGAAGGTGGTCCCCTCCTTACTGGAGGCCCCAGAGTCCCTTCCTGGCAGAAGGGACAGGACTCTGGGTGTCCCCGGATGACTTTAGGTGTTGGTAAGTGTCCCGGTCCTGGGGGCTCCCGTGGAGATCATGGGGCTCAGGTGAGAGCTGGCAGAGGTGTGAGCAGGACTGGAGTAGGGCCAGCTTGGAAGTAGCCGGCCGAGTGACACGGAGAGGACAATTGTCAGAGGGGCCGGCTCTGTCCCCCTCCCCTCCACCCTATGTGAGCAGAGTCCCACCCGGTAACCCCTGGGTTCCTGAGGACCCAAACCAGTGGTCACTTGTCAGGCAGACAGAGCAAACTCTGCTGGACCTGAGGTACAGGGTCCTGGCCTCTCGCTCCTTTTTCCCCCTGAGCCCCGCTGTCTGCCAAGCTGGGACACAGGTCCCCATGAGGTGCAGGGTCAGAACCCAGGCTGGCCCCTCGGGTGCTTTGTGGGGCCACTCAGAGCTGCCCACAGGGAGGGCCCAGGGAATTCTGGCTTCACCTCTGCTCAAGGGAAGACATGTCGATGCCAGAGGGGACCACAAGCTTAGCATGTCCAGGCTTTTAAAGCCCACAAATAAGCTCAGGGCTGAAGCAAGCACTTCCCAGCAGAGGAAGCTGCCCGGCAGCTGCTTCTCCCCACCTCTGGTTGGGGCCTCTGTCTAGTAGGGATGTGAGCCGGCAGGTCCCCACCCTTCCCTGCGCAGGGCTGGTGGTATTGGCTGCCTGTGGCTCTGTCCCAGGGCAGTATGCCCCTGTGCCTTCTTTCTCCATGAGGCTCTGGCACAGTGTACCCAAGAGGGGTGCACTGTGGGGCATTGTTGGGCTCCTAGTCTTGGTATCAGGAGCACTGGTCTGGACAGTTCTGGATGGCTGCAGCCCCTCTGTCCCTGGCTGCTACTAGATGGACAAAGAGCAGGGCCAGGGAGGGGGAGCTCCTGCTATCCTGGGGTGTTCTTCTGGGCATCTGACCCCCAGATTCTCATGGAGCCAAGGGCTCATCCCTGCCTCCGACAGCTCAGTGCCAGGGCAGTGCTGCCCTGAGGGGCTGGGGACCAGGACGGGGAGGGGAGCTAGGAGACTGAGACTCCAGGTCCCTGCCAGAGCCTGCCCACCACCTCCCAGCCTCCCTCCGGGTGGCTGGTCTCTGCTAACTGGGGCAGCTGGCACAGTGACCCTGCCCAGTGTTGGCATGGGAGCTGTGGATTCCAGACATCCCTGGGGACCCTTTGGAAGTCCTAGTCAGAGAGCTTCTGGGCCAGTCCCCTCCCTTGGGGTCAGGGGTCCCAGGGAGCTGGGTTGAGGGCCAGCTTGACTCCTGACCAGGTTGCTGTGCTCACCTTGTGAGTGTCCTGGGCCTACCACTCCCGAGCTCCTACCCGCAGTGGGCCTAGCTCAGCAAGGAGATGAGTGCGCGCGTCTGTATGTGTCTGCATCTGAGTGGGCACCTGTGTACCTGTATGTGCCGTGTTTCAGTGCGTCGGTGTATGTTGTGTGGGCATCTGTGTGTGTGTCTGAATGTGCATCTGTATAGCTATGTGTTATGTGCACGTGCATTTGTATGTGTTGTGTCTGTGAGTGCATCTCTGTGTGTGCGTTTGGATGAATGTGCATCTGTGTTTGTACGTGTGTGTGCGTGCATTTATGTGTGTGTTTGAGTGTACATCTGTGCGTCTGTGTCTGAATGTACGTCTGTGTGTGTTCATCTTTGTGCATTTGTTTGTGGGTGTGTCTAAGAGTGCTCATGTGTCTATCTGTGAGTGTCCTGGCCAGAGTGGGGTGGGGAGCTGAGACCAGTAAGCCCTCATTCTCACCCCTTCAGTTCTAGGGGCTCTTCCAGTGAGGGGTTGTGTGCATGTGCACACGCGTGAGCCCTTGTCTGTGTATCTGTGTATTAGACTGCTAATCATAGGTTGGCAGCTCAAACCCACCAGCACTTCTCAAGCCTTCACCCGTGAAGGTGTGCACCCTCAAACCCCGGGGGGCGCTGCCATGGCAATGGATGTGAGTCTGCCATGGGCTTACTCAGCATGGGGGTCTCAACATTGTTTTCTGTGAAAGTGGGCGTAGCATTTGTGCCCATCGCCCAGGGGCCCTCGTTGTTTCTCTTAGGCCAGAGTCCTCCTAGTTGCCTGGTCGGCTCCCAGCCCTCTGTCCACCCCTAGTCCTCACATTCATAATGGCGTCTTCATCTTGTGATCCTGCCTGTCACCTTGCTAATAAGAGAGGAGAGAGCACCCAGGACCCTGGCCTTGGGCACCAGGCCACTGTGGTGGGGACAGTGAGTCTGGGCTGCCCCTTGCTCCTGTGCTCTCACTCAGCCCAGCTCTGCTGGGAGCTGTGGGCAGCGATGGGACCGGCCACCATCTAGCACCTCTGGTCTCGGCAGGCCTGTGTCTTCTCTGAGCTTGCTCCAGTCGAGGCGAAGCCAGTGGGTGCTGGTGGCCGTGGGCCAGGACACAGGGTGGACTTTGGGGGCTGTGCTTCACCGCTTCACTGAATACTGCTTCACTTATTAACTGATCAAAGCAGAGAAGGCTCCTTCTCAGTAAGCAGCCAGGCCTGTCTCTGGTCATGATCACCTGGGCCAGGATGCTGGTGGGGGAGATCACGGGGTTCCCCCCACAGCTCCTGGCCCAGTGACAAGCCTGCTGTCCAGGACCAGGACAGCCCCTTAGCACACGGAGTCTCTGTCTACTGTCGCATCCTGCTTCTCAGAGGGGCCACACGCCCCAACATGGTCCCAGTTTGCTGGGCCACCAGGATCCTGAGCAAGGACTCTGTTGTGCGAGGGCCAAGCTGGAGACACTGGTCTGGGTCCCTCTCCCCAGTTGGGGTGGGAACAGGTCCTGGGCTATGAACCGGAGCGCCACCATGTGGCCAGAGTGCAGATCCCAGACAGCCTTGTGGGTCCCTTGTGCTATTTGGCACTGTGTGCTGTCTGCTCTTGACCCTTGACCCCAAACAGTCCATTTCCGATGTAGAAACTGAGGCACTGAAGAGCTGGCCTGACCTGTGATCCCCAGATCTTTACAGGGGCTTGACCCCAACACCTCGTCGGGACACATGGGGGACCCACAGGGCCTCCCCCTGTCGGATAGCCATTGGTTTTGCCAGCAAGCCAGAAGCTGCAGGGAGCTGGTGGGGGGTGGGGGGTACACAGCAGGGGTGAGCGTGGGTGGTGGGGCAGGTGGGAGGACCCAGGGCCCAGCTATATCAGGACTTCCGAATGTCCTTCCTTGGCCTTTTTCTGGCCAACTTCCCACTAGTGCTTGCAGCTAGGAGATGGGAGCCCTGCTCCACCTCCTGTCCCACCCACCTATCTGCCTTGGGTTGCACAAGCACCTGCAATGACTGGAAGTCCCCAGGGTTCCCGCACATCCTCTGCACTAGCCCAGCACTGCCTGCCTGCCCCAGAGCACCCATGCAGCAAAGGGCTCTATACCTGTGTCTGCTGACAGCCCAGGGAAGGGACAGGGAGAGGGACCCTGTGCTTGCTCACAGGGCAGGATTCTGTGCCCCAGGAAGGGACAGAGCTCGCCTGACTGGTGGGTCACAGTCGAGCCTGGCCTTGTGCCTGAGGGCAGGGCTGGCTGCGGCTTCCTGACCATTGTACCAGGGCAGTTCCCAAACCCCAGACCACATGGTGAGGCCCCACCCCCCAGGAGACCTGACTCTGGGAGTGACCCTTATGAAAGTGGGACCCAGGTTCTCTCCTGGTGTCACTGGATGCCTGGATCCCAAGACCCAGGAGCCAGGCAGAATGGGGAGGTAGAGTCATTTTCAGAGCAGGGACCCTTAACCCTGATGAGATCACCTGCCCTGCTGTCACTGTCACTGCCTCGTCCTTCCCCTGCCCCTGACAAGTCCTCCTGCCCCATTGTCACTGTTCTGACAAGCTGCCCTGTCTGTGCCTAGCCCCTGGCTCTGCTGTTCCTGTGTCTGGTCTGCAAACTGACCTCAGATGCACTCTGTTTCGTAGGACATGATGCCACCACCCCCGCCCTCTCCGCCACGGCCACCTACTGAGACACCCAGATAGAGCCTGGGCCCTGTGGTGGCAGTGGCCACCCATGCTCGCAGTGGGCACTGCCATGGATGGGGAGTGTCCCCAGCCGGAGCCCCCGCCCGGGGCCAGCGTCCTGTACGGCCGGCCCCCTCTGCAGGCCCCACTCTGCGGCTCTAGTGTTGAGGTAAGTCCCAGGCCTGAGTGGGTGACACTGGGTCTGCTGGGAGCTGGGCGGCCTTGACATCCTCATAGTGACTGTGAGTATTGGAGCCCTGTGGCACCCTCTGACCTCAGGACTGAACAGGGAGATGGGGAGGGTTGATGCTTTTTAACAGACTCAGCTTCTGAGAGTAGCTTCAGGGTCCCTGGAGACTCACAGTGCCACCAGTGCCACCTGTTCTCCCCATACCCCCACGCAGCTCTGGTCTCACGCCCCTCCCCCAAGTTCTCACACACCCCTCATCTCTCCCAGTGCTGACAGCCCCCCAGTCTCTGTGTGCTGACAGCTTCCAATCTCTGAGTGTTCACAGCCTCTCAGTCTCTGGGTGCTAACAGTCCCCCAGTCTCATCTCCTGTGCTGAGATCATGTGTGGGGGGTGTCGCTGTCACTGCACCCATGCTGAAATGGTCTCAGCCTGGGTGTCCTCGAGGTCTGAGAGGTGGGACCCAGTCCGGCCCACACTGAGGGGCCTCAGAAGAAAGGCGTGCAGTCTGCTTCCAGTTCCTCACCCTGGAGCCCACAGCTGTCCATCCCCACATGGCCCGGGCCCAGCGCTGTCCCCTGCCCACCGTGTGGTCAGTGTGGACAAGACCCAGCTCTGACTCGTGCTTCCCTCTGGCAGTGTCTGAGCAGTCACCCACCTCCATCCTGCTAGGTGGAGCGTGCCACAGCCTCTGCGGCATCGTGGGAGCGGGGAGACCGTGGGGCGGGGGGCCGGACAGGGCCCCAGACTCATGGCAGGACCCTATCTGCCACCTCCCTGGCACCCAGCAGTATGGCCCTCAGTCTCATTCCCCCACCTGTCCTGGACCCTCCTGCTGCTGTGGGGTGAAGGAGCACCCTATTGGAGGACTGCTTTCCATCTGGTTCTCTCTGGAATGACTCTCCTGTTGGTCCCAGGCTGTGCTGCCGCTGCTGCTCCTCCCCTCAGGGACCGTTCCGTGTGTGTGTGTGTGTGTGTGTGTGTGTGTGTGTGTGCGCGCGCTTGGCAGCAACAGTGGCCTCTCTGGAGCGTCCTATCAGTGTCCCCGTATGTGCCCCACTGGACAGGGCATCCAGGGGGTGGGGGGGGCATGTCTGCACCATGTTGGGCCTGGGGGTATGAGGTGCAGTCCTAAATTTGTCTGTGTGCTGCTCCAGCAGAGAAAGCACAGGGGGATGTTCTGCAGGACAAGCCCCTTTGTCTGCTCCACCAGCACACTGCCCGCCCCCCCCCCAT